TTCCCATTTCCTCTCCCTCTCCCCCCCCCCCCCCTTATTTATTCTTGGATCTGGACTTTTTAATACTCCAGTCATCTGAAGTGGGTTTTACCCAAGAAAGCTGATACACCATCTACTGTCATTCATGCTAAAATTCGACACTCTCCAGGGGGGATTGAACAAAGACCCCCAACTACCTTACCCATTACAAAGATAGCTTCCCCAATTATCACCTCTAATACCATTAGCTCACAGACATCTACCTTTCCCCACCTCTAATATCATTAACACAGACACTTACCTTCCTTCCCCCCCCCCCTCCCCACATCCCCCTCCTGTTCTGAATTGTGATTTGTCCTTTTCATGTGTGTTCATTTTTTTTAATTGTATCCTTTGGTATATATGGTTGTGACTATTTTCTATTTTCTTCCACTATTTGATCTGAGGAAGTGGGTCTGGCCCATGAAAGCTCATCATCTAATAAACCATCTTGTTAGTCTTTAAAGTGCTACATAGTCTGGTGTAGCTGAAGCAAAATGCAGGACTAACACGGCTACATTTCTATTACTAATCTACATGTTTTGTTAGTCTTTAAGGTGCTACTAAACTCTGTTTAAGTTTTTTTCAGTTATAGACTAACTCAACTACCCCTCTGAAGCTAATAGACATTAAGTATTTTAAAAAGTTACCTTATAAGATGATGGAGGTTCTGTCCTGAGAGGAGGCTCTGGTAATTTGCCAGGTAACGTCTCTTCATCTACTGTAGTTTCTACTTGCCTGAGGAGGTAGTGGCTCGTTGTTTGCAGTGGGCTTTGAATATCTATTAAAGAGGCTTAGTTTTAGTTTCTCCATTTTACTTACACAACTTTTGCTGGAGCAACATATGATATAACAATGCACACAGGAACCAAAAGTGATGCTGCATTTGTGTGTGCACTGCATTATGACCTAAGGCTATAATGAAGACACCATTTGAAACTTGACACTAATTTGACTTTCACAATAAAGTTTGAGAGAAGCTGAGAGCATTACTAGGTCTATTCAACTGAATTTTGGCTGTTATCTGCTAAAAGATGAGAAATGAAGTTTGTCAAGACCCTACATAATACGTAAGAGAATCTGTTTAACAAACTGAATTCTGGCCCCATTTTCAAAGGAAAATTTAGTAACTCAAACTATTCCCTGTAAAGTAAGTTCTATATAGGAACTTACTTTACAGAACTCAACTCTTGCCTTGAGAGTGCTTCAATAGTAATCTTTATTGTAGGACTAGCTTAGAAATAGCAAATACAACTCAGCTACGAGAACTACAGTGATATTGGATCCCCATCATCTTAAGTGCCATTTCAGAAACATCTCTGAAGGGAAAAACAAGTTTGAAAAGAGAACAAAAGAAACAGCACATAGAATATTCAAGTGCTAAAATAAGGCATAACTAAATCTATCTGAACAAGAGAGTATATCTTGGGCAAATTGTTCACCTCTATGCGCCTCAGCCTCCCTCTCAGTGAAATGTGCCTGCTTTTTATCAAATGCTTTGATCAATGCATTAAAAAAGTTAGGTAAATGCTATCAAATTACATACCTTTTCCTGAGAGATTGGGAAGTGTAAATAATAGGTCATGGTTCTTAGGGATGGAATACAGCATGCTTTCTTTCAGTGGAACAGTATGGTTTGAATGTTTAAGTATTCTCAGGCCCTTAATTAATATGTTAATTTCAGTAACCTCCTCTTGCTGAACCTGCAAATGAGAGAAATACTAAATTTGTATCTTTGTTTTAAACTGAGTAAGGCAGGCCACTGGTTTAAAAACAAGCACCAATAAAATACCATTTTGGATGCACAATTATTACTAAGAATTTCTTCCTTCTTTCTTAGACATTAGCACAAGTGCATTAATAGTTGGGAAGGTGCCTGTTCTGCAAGGTGTGTTAATGTGATCAGCTTGATTTTCAAAAGTTGTACCTTACTCATCATGACCGTGATTCAGCAAGGTACTTGAGCATCTGCCTCACTTCTAGTATGTGAGTAGTCCCAATAAACAGGATCTTGCACATGCTTTAGTGTACTATTTAACTGAAACCTTCACGATTGGCTTTTCACTAGACACTACTGCTACCCTTTCCCGCATTACCAAGTTTGACATCAAAGGATAAATGCATTTTTTTAAACACACATTTCTGCTCAGAACCAGGCAAATTATTTCTAATGTAACCTGCAGCAGTACAAAAAAAGTTCTCCCAATATCATTGTCTTAATTTGTCCTTCCAGTAGCTTTTGCTTATCTACTCTCTTTAAATTAAAGTTACAACATTCAGAGTACGGATTGGCAAACTGATTATGCATATTTTGTAACCATATTTGTAAAAAGGCTGACCTAAAACTAACAATGATCTCATTTTTCCCTCCACAAAAATATTAAGGATGTGAATAGTTAACCAGTTAGCAATTCTTCCCAGTTACAGCTAACCTGCAGGGTGCCTCATGTGCCCACAAGCATAAGCACTCCATCCCAGCTGGTACAGGGGACTGCTCCAGCCTGGCCCTGTTTAAGCAGTTAACCAGGTAACCCGTTGACTGATTAAACCGCATTTTACATCATTAAAAATATTAGGTGATGTATTTTTACTTATTCTTTATTTAAAAATTACCACTACAAGCACTGACTTTATAAGGAAAAAATGTCACTGTGAAGAGTAATAGAACAGCTGTCCAAAATATCAGGCCAGAAACTGACAAATCCAGTATGTGCCTTAAGTCTAGAATGAAGACTGCAACATGGAAGTTTGTCAACAAAAAGGAATGCAGTAGGATGCAAGCTATTAGTTAGATCCTCCTACCCTTATGCAATACATAGTATTGCATAGCTTCAAATTAAAACTACTGCGTAATATGAATCATCTGTTCACTCAACTGATAATCAATGAGTAAGATTGCCTGCACTGTTGTCTCAGAAAACTAATGACACAAGATGGGTGAGGTAAGATCTTTCATTGGGCCAACTTCTGTTGGTGAGACCCTTTCAAAGCTGAAAAGAATGAGTCTCAAGTAGAAAATGCAGTTTAATATGCTAGTATTAACTCCCTGCTAAGATCTGAAGTATTTTGCACAGAATAATGAGGTCTGAAACAAAACTATACTGTAATTTATGTACAAACCAGTAGAAAACTTGCTTAGGCTAATCTTATAAAAAGTGTAATTTATACTTTCTAAAACATTTGATATAATGAATTAAATTAATAAGCTCGAGTACATTTGTCAAAATTCTGACTCTAATGTCTGTGCGTTCAGTGAAAAACTAAGCCATTTTGATAATTCCTTATTAATAATCACTGCTACACTGTAGTAGTAAATTTAATAGTAAATTCTCAATAATAAACAACTTAGACCATGTATAAGACAAATGTATACTAAACAGAAACCTAGAAATTCCAACAACTTATATCATTAAGTATGCCCAGTGCGGAACTTCTTGGATATAGAATCAGAGAGGTAGCTGTGTTAGTCTGCATCTGTAAAAACAACAAGGAGTCCTGTGGCACTTTAAAGACTGACAGATTTATTTGGGCATAAGCTTTCATGGGTAAAAACTACTTTCTGCATGTACATGGTTTTTATCCAAAAAAGCTTATGCCCAAATAAATCTTTAAAGTGCCACAGGACTCCTTGCTGGGGTGTGTGGTTTTTGTTTTTGTTTTAAAGAGTGAATAGATATCTATATATATCTTCAAGAGTGGTAGTCCTAGCTCTTACCGTTTAAGAGGAGTTCATGAACAAACCACTTTTCAGACAGACACATTACTCTCTAAAATAATTATTTCCTGAATCCCTATTTCAACTATATTGGAGAAACATCTTTTCAGAGCAAATTAGATTACTTTTTCTTAAGAGTTCATCTCCCATTAGTGTGTGTCTCTAAAATCCTGTCTGTGATTATTTTCATGGCAACTACCAAGTTTTCAGGGATGGGAATAGGGGATGTTAAATATCAATTAATTGAGTAGTCAAGTAACCTCATGAATTCTTGTTTGTCACTCATCTATTCTATAATACCTGGGGGTAGAGCTGGCAGCCAGTAGGCTCCAGCTCCGCTCCAGCTCCACTCTGGAGGAGCCCCCTGCTGTGTCACACTGCTGCTTCTGTATCAGAGGCAGCAGCATGAGGTACCAGGCAGGAGCTGGTTCGCAAGTGGTGCCAGTTTAAAAATCAGCTCCTCTGATACAAAGGCAGCAGCTCCTGTCCAAGGAGGTATCTGAGCTCCCGGGCCTGACGCAAGCTGGAACTAAGCAGGGCTGGCTGCCTCCTAATACACTTTAAATGCAGAGCTGCAGGCAGAATAGGTCCCAGAACCATCACAAGCCAGGACTGAATGAGGCTGCTGGCCAGCCTGCTAAAAACCGTACTGATGCTGGGGGGGGGGTGGAGAATACATGAAGTCTATAGCATCAACCTTATAAGCTTTTGCTTATTAGTTAATCAATACACTCTTACATGCCTAGATAGAATATCTCTTAAAATTCACATATAAAATATTGTAAGGAGACAAAATAACCTAGGCCTTGATCCTGCCAGGTGCGAAGCAATTTATCCCCCATTCACAAAAGCACTTCAGCACGGAGAGTTAAAATGTCCATTCTAAATTAGGATGGTAAACAAGTATGGTCAGTGTTACCTCTTTTCCATCAATTTCTGTCACCTCTTCCTGTATGACAATCAAGTGGAAGTTCCACCTGGATCCAAAGGGCCCCTCATGAAACAGGATGCGAACGCTGACAATTCCCCAACGCCTCTGACCAAATAGGTTATCAGAGTTTCCAGGTTCCACTGTCAATAGATAATTATGCAGTGAACAAGGTCACAATGAGAAACAGAAGCCACACACAAATCGACTCTCAAGGGTGGACTAAAGTAACTTTGACAAAGACTCCGTACCCAGCAAATAAACCATCACCCTAATATCAAAACACACTAGAGGAGATGTGCACTAGATGTGCAAAGAACAGAGATATTCTAACTCTGCATTGAAGCCTTCCCTTCACTTATCCCCCTACGACGTTGGTGGCCAACCCACATGTGGCTCTTTACTCATGAAGCCACCCTATGCACCCCTACAAACGGCCTCTGGCTCCCTGTGCTCACCAGTTGCAGGGGAGCTGTCCAGCACAGCAAAATGGTGCAACAAGATGGTGGCAGCAGCCTAATATGGCCAAAAAGCCTAACCCGTGGTTTTTAAAGGGGCAGCATTTTTTTTTTTTTTTTTTGCTCAACAATTCTGGTGCAGCTCTTCGCCTTTTTTTCTGCCGCTGTTTCGGCTTGTTTCATTTAATGTGTTGGCCACCCCTGCCCTACAATGTTGTATCATTGCTAGCCTTGCTGAGTATTCTAGGGCAGAACAGCCCCATCTGCACTTTCACTGCTGTGCTCTTTAATCCCATTCAAAGCAGATCTAAGACGATACACTGTTGACAAGTCGAGCAGGCTCCTCAACCTGTTTAAATTGATGCGTTCACTGACTGACCTGATTAAATAGCTTTGGGAAATTGAGAGGAAAGGTGTAGCATAGTAAGGCTGTGTGTGCTCATTTTTAAGTTGCAATATCACACCAAGGACTAAAAGATGCAATGATTTGTCTTTCCAAACATGGATTCATCCAGTCCAACTCTCCATTTACACCTCAGTTGTCTTTCCATCTTAGATATCTAGAAAAACACACAGGAATGATGCTGCATCCATTCAACAGCTTAGAAAAAATATCCACGGGAATGCGTGTAACTTTCTATAGGGAGATCAACCCGTGTTCTAACTTTATGTCCATGTGCAGAATTAATTGTGATACATCACCTCCATATTGGTGCACATAACCAAATTAATTCTGCACGCAGACAACTTGTGGCAGGGGTGGAGCTGAGAGTGTGGGAGGGGACTCAGGCTTAGGGGAGTAAGGCTCTGGGGTAGGGCTGGGGATGAAGTGTTTGGGGTGCAGAGGGTGCTCCAAGCTGGGACTAAAGGATTTGGAGTGTGAGAATGGGCTCAGGGCAGGAGGCTGGGGCAAGGTTGTGGGGTCTGGGTGGGAGTTAGGGTGCAGTACAGGGTTCAGTTTAAGGGTGTGGAGTCTAGGGAGGATCTAGGTTGGAGGGAGCTCAGGGCTGTGGACTGGGGTGTAGGGCACTTACCTGGGGCAGCTCCTATGTGGTGGCTGGGGGGGGAGAGGAAGGAGGCACTAGGGAAAGTGGGCACAGGATTCTCCACACTGCCAACACTCACCTGCAGGCATTACCCCTCACAGCTCCCATTGGTTGTGATTCCTGGCCAATGGGAACTGTGAGGAAAGATCTTCCCAGCACTTGTGGTAACACAGCTCCAACTGGGAGGAGGGGGAGAAGCAATAGTGTGTGGAGCTGCCTCCCCCACTCCACCAGGAAGGGCTGGCCCAGAACTCAGTGGCTTTACAGACTGCATCCCAAGGTCCTGAACTAAGGGAGCTCCCCTTAGCCCAGATCCCTGAAGCCCCTTTCTTAATCCAGACCTGTTGCTGAGTCTAGAGCGTAATGCCTTTCCCCTGGCTGTGGCAGCTCCCTACTGCTGGGGCCAGAGGAAAGAAGGAAGCTGCCAGAAGGGAGGGGCCCTCTCCCTCTGCCATGGCAACTCCGTGCTCAACAGTCCTGAGCCTCTGTGCAGGGTTTATTAGGCAGCAGCTTAGAGCAGGGCTACTCAACTTTGGAAGCCCCAGTGGGGTGGGGGGGAAACAATGATACTCACAGCACATGCTGAGGGCTGCAACTTAAGTGTGGTCACATATACATGCAAATATATATGCAAATAGCTTCTTTCACAAGGAATGAATGTAAAGATTAAGGGTACATCTAGACTACATGCTTCTGTCGCCAGAGGCATGTAGATTAGGCTACCTGACACAGTAAAATGAAGCGGCGATTTAAATAATCGCCGCTTCATTTCAATTTACATGGCTGCCGCGCTGAGCCGACAAACAGCTGAGTGTTGAGTAGCCCTGGCATAGAGGGAACCTTGAGGTTAATCCTCTCTGCCTGAGGATACCTGTTTGGTTCACACCCTTTTCCTTTTCAGGTGGCCACCAAAAGAGCACTCACCAATGCTTTCAGAAGAATGTCCACTACCCTTCCTCCCACTTGGCATATGCTGGGCCCAAAAGTATGGAAGGGATTTGCCAGTCTATTAGGAAATGGGGTATCCTTGGCCCAAACTACATCTCACCCCTCTCTGTTCACACACCACCACTCCTGCCTCCTTATACCTCCCTGCCAACCTCATGCTCTTAAAAAGTCTACCATGAGCACACACTCAGTAGTCCTCCCACTCTCAATCTGCTGTTCTCCTCTTCAAACACCATGCTCCCACCAATAGGGAGCGTGTGTTAGATGTAAAATAGTTTTGTAGAAATGAGGAGTCTAAGTTTGTGTTGATATTTCGATAGGTAGGCAGGCACATGATCTGCAACTGGTCTTGGTTTCCTGTTCAGGCCATTTATGCACCATACAGCTTGTAGGTGGTGGGCGGCACAAGGTGATTGGCCTCATGTCATAATCACCCAATAACACCTTGAACTGTTCATTGCTTTTACAATCAAGCCCCTTAATAGCAAAGATTACTTTTAATTAAAAATTTTTGTTTATGCACCAATGTGTTGTGTTATGAAAATATTGTGGATGGATAAGCAAGTATTAAGAAATTTCTATAGGTATCTGCTGGCATACCCACAAGCTTGTTGAATGTTGCCTGAATTACAGTGTTGAATATGCAGTGTAGAGCCAGATCCTAAGTGATGCTAAGCACCTGCCATTTCTAGTCCTCCTACCCTAATTGCTAATTCCCCTGAACTCTGATTAAGCTTAATGAGTAGCTGAAGACATTCAGTATTCAACAAGATAGAACCCATTGATCTCAATGGGAGTTACAAGTGCAAAAGAGATGCTGAGCAAGATTTAGCAAAGTTTTTAACACAGAACTAGTCAGTAAGAACTCTAAGGCTTAAGTTTAAAGTGCAGCTGAGGCACGGGTTAGGCTTTTTGGCCATATTAGGCTCCTGCCAGCTGCCACCATCTTGTTGCACCATTTTGCTGTGCTGGACAGCTCCCCTGCAACTGGTGAGCACAGGGAGCCAGAGGCCGTTTGTAGGGGTGCATAGGGGTGAACATGGCAGCATGGTCACTATCATGATGTTAGCTATCGTGTAATCAAGTCACAAACTGCATGAAATCTTAGCAATTACACAACTATTCAAAAGTTCCTGGGGGTGGGGATGACAGCCAGTGCACTCCCGGGGAACCACTTCCCTCCCCATGTAGCTGCCTCTATATCAGAGATAGCAGTGCAAGATGGCAGGCGGGAGCCGGTCTGCAACAGGAGCCAGTTTTTATGCAGACTGACAGACAGGCTTGCCACAGACAGAGGCTGCTCCATGAGATGTGAGTCCAGAACCCTGCAGACAAAGGTTGCTTCGCAGCAGCTTCTACCCCTACCCCCACCCCCACCCCAGAGGGAAAAGAGGGAGGTGCAGGCGGTCTGCAGGAGCCTATACATGCAGAGAGCTGGCTTGAAAGCCAGCTCCCCACATGTATTGACTCCAGCCTACCCCCCTCACCCTTGGTGCTGTTGCCTATCAGAGGTTGCAGGGTGGGGAAAGGGAGGCAGATCCACTGCTCACAGAGAGCCTGCTTTTAAGATAGCTCCTCCCAGGCACCGGCTCCCACTCCCCCACCCTCCGCCCCTTGCTGCCTACTCCCCTCACCCTCTGTGCTGCCTCTCAGTAGTATCAGCATGGTGGGGGAAGGGGGGGGACAGGCAGATCCAGTGCTTATGGGGATCCAACTCCTCCTGGGGCCCAGCTCCTGCTCCCCCCATTGCTGCCTCTGATACAGAGGTAGCAAAGGGGGGGGGGGGAATGCATGTAGTCAACAAGATTAATTGATAAGCCCAGGCTTATCGGTTAATCACATAGTTGTCTACATGATGATGTTCCTAGTGGTCATGGCACCAGCATGAAGTGAGAGCTCTCCCAGTGCTGTAGGTAAACAACCTCCAGGAAGGGTGTTCTGACAGCTAAGCTTGTTTGCACTAGCACTTTTCAGCACTGTAACTTACTGCGCTTGAGTGTGTGTGTTATTTCACACCCTTGAGTGAGAAAGTTACAGCATAGTAAAATGTCAATGTAGACTTCTGTCCAGCATAAGAACTTATATTTAGGGCCTGATTCAGATCTCAGATAAATTCAGTGTAGTTACCCTGCTTTTACAATAGCATAAGAGACATCAACGTTTGGGAGTCCAATAGCACTTTAGATCTTCAAAGCACTTTACAACTGTTATCTAATTAAACCTCCCAACAACCCTGTAGAGATGTTGTAAGTCTTGTGCCAAGGTTATAGAGCTTCAGAGCAGAACACTAGAGATCCTGATTCCTAAGACTCAGATCAAATAATTGTTTTTCACATTGTTTCTGATTACATAGCACATTTGTAAAATTTCAAAAGTATTGTAGTGGGTTGGACAATTAGAAAGAAAATGGATTCAAACATGCTCCCAGAATTAGGCATTATATTAGACAATAACTGCATTATTCTTGCATTTGTCTTGAGTCATTTACCTCTGACTTAAGTGACACTTTGAAATATTTTTAAATCTATACTAAAAATGAAAGATGCTAACGTTGCTATTTGTCTTGTACTGTAAAAATATGAGTGACTGCCTACCCCAGAGAGAGACTGTATTAATATGTCATCTTTTGGATTTTTGAATACAAGGTCGCAGCTTAGAATCAATTTAAAATACCATTAATCCATCCTCAGTAAAGGTCTGATCCCCAAGGGCAGATGATTTCAGAATCCAACTTTCAGACTGCCCATAACTAGCAGTTAAACTGAAACAGTCATGTTCATTTAATTAATTATGCAATACTCTGTGCATATCCAAGTATCAAAACACTTGATTGGCAGTTCTTGCACAAGACTACAATGCTGAACTAGTGGGGAAAACAACAATTCTTCCTCCAATGGTTGTATGTCTGTTCCATTTTGGATGCATGTGCACCTAGTACATCAGAGCTGGAGACTCTTCCCCTGGAATTGCCCTTTGGGACAGCACAACCATTCTCTGCTGCCATGCAATAGTACAAAAGGCAGTTACGCCCCGATCCCCTCAGTTCCTTCTTATAGGACAGATACGGATACAGAGGGGAAGGGACTGAGTCATGGAACAGACATGGGCAACACATCTTGAAGAACATTTACAGAACAGGTTAGTAATTATCCCTTCTTTGAGTAACTGATTGTACATGTCCATTCCCCCTCAAGTGACTCTCAAGCCGTTCAAACTGGAGGTGGGTTTCAGCCTTCACCTGAACAATAACTGAAGGACTGCTAGTCAGAACGTAGCATCATCCCTAGTATGCCGAGAAGTGGTGTAAGAAGTAGAAAAGATGAGTATACTCAAGACCACACTGCAGCCCTACAAATGTCTGACAGACCCGAAAACTAAAAACACTGCAGAAGTTGCTTAAGATCCTGTCAAGTGTGCTATCACCCTGCCTGGCAACACGACGTTGGCCATGTTGTAGCACAAGTGTAAACAGGAGGAAATCTGGAACAAGTTGCGGGGGGAAGGGCCTTCATGTGGTCCGCAATTGCCACCAAACACCTGAGAAGATTATCTAAACGGTCTAGTTCTAAGTAAAAAGCCAACATCCATGGTATGAAATCTAAATGCTTCTCAGTGACAATCCTTACAAAAAAGGGACACCACTGGAACAGTGGGGAAAACAACAGCATCCCCCATTACAGGCAGGACTGTAATAGCTGTGCAACAATGCCTTTCATGTGAGAACCCTGCCACCCCAATGTATACGGAATGATGATATAATGGCAAAATATACTTAAAGCTCCACATGTCAAACCTGTCAAGTTGTTAAATAATGGAATAAACACTGCCTAGCGAGGTTACATAATCTCTGTCATTGGAGACATTTAAGAACAGGTTAGACAAACATTGGGGACTAGACTTGACCTCTCAAGGTCCCTTCCAGTTCTAGGATTCTATAATTATCCTAGTCCTTGTTTCTCCTGCTGACACTCTTTGGATGCGCACCACCCAACACAGGAAAGACAGCCATTATCAAGTGTGGAATTACATTGCTATATTCTCATGATTATGACATGGAAACAAATTTTGTTTCATGTTGATTCTAAATGTATCCTAACTCTGTAAACGTGTTTCCAAATAGTGCTGACTTTCATATAACACTGCAGCAATGAATTATTTGTTATGTCCTTCTCTAATTACATGGAAGCAGATATCTCAGATAAAGAATTGAGCAGTACTCACATATTAAAGCCTGACACTTAATCCGGGTAACACCTCTCTCCATAGGAAAATCATTTACATATATCTGTCCATAATTGTAGGTGATATTAAAGACAACCTGAAAAATAAAAAACAATTGGCAAAATATTTTCATATATGCAATCAGATTTTCAGTTTCAGAAATCAATAATGTAAAGAACAGATTCACTATTGTATAAAATACTAAAAGAAATAAATCAACAGAAACATTGAATATTTGACTGATTCATGTGGTCAAATTTGGACAGACCTCAAATGCATGCATGGACCATATCCTCAAGTTTGTTAATGTGTGGCTTTCACTTCCACAGGTAAAGTTTGGCTCATAACCTCCCAATATACTGAGTAAACAAAAACAAACCTGTACTTCTTGAGATTCCTCACTGTTTTTTGGCACAGTAACATTAACTCTGATGTTCTCCTGAGGGGGGGGGAAAGAAAGTAAGGAGACAAATTAAGTCCTGTAAAATGGAACTGTCCTGCAGTGCAAGAGACATTGAATCTATGAACTATTTCCACATATGTTTTTTAAGGATAAATGGCATGTAGTACAAGTGAGCACATTCCCCACACTCACTGTCTGGCAAAGGACAGCAAGAGGAATATGCTTACTTGCACCACATATCAATTTTTAAAGAGTGATAATTGCAAAAGAATGATCACCACTCACTGTTAAGTGAAAAAGTGATTTTTTAAAAAATTTACATCTAGAAAACTTTGCCATGTTTTTCACATATCAACATGCTTGGATGGAGTCAATTATAGCAGAGGAAGATAGTAGAGAATTATTATAGTAGAATATTCTCAATCTGTGCGTCATGACCCAAAATGCATCAAAAAGTGTTGTATAGAAGACAAGGCTAGGGTAGGAGTTTTCCATCTAGGATGAGACAGTTGCAGAGCCCCCTCCACACTCACCCTGCCGAGGTGGCTCCAGTCCTGTGGGGATGTCTGGGCTCAGTTCCTTATTTTGTTGGTGGGAGCCATGGCAGTGCTCGGGTTTGGCCGAGCCACCCCTCTGTCATGATGACAGGGAGCTGACAGGGCCAAATTTGAGCGAATGGCACTGTAATCCCACAAGCCCACTGGCAACACCACTCAGACCAAAAAAGGCTGGCGAACCCTCCGTCACAGGGCCCGAGCCAAACCTGAGCATCGTTGCAACCCCAAAGGTCATAATCCCTGGAGCAGGGAGATAACTGAGCCAGCCCCCCAGGACAGGAGCCACACTGTGATATGCATGGTGTACATATTGAGTACTTATTACATTAATATGTATAGTATTGGAAGTGAGAAGTATTTAGTTGGCAGATGTTTTTGTGCTAGAGCTATTTACTGGTTTGCAATAGTACCTGGATACGTTACAGCAAAGCTTTTAGAAAAGGAGTTCTCAAACTTTGGGCCGCAGCTCATCAAGGAACGCCACTAGCGGGCACCAAGACACTTTGTTTACCTGAGCATCTGCAGGCATGGCTGCTCGCAGCTCCCAGTGGTCATGGTTTTCTGTTTCCCAGTCAACAGAAGCTGCAGGAAATGGTGGTTGGAAATGGCAAACCATGGACACTATGAGCTGCATGTGTCCATACCTGCAGACTCTCAGGGAAACAGAATCTTGCAGCCCACCAGCAATTTTTCCTGATGAGCTGCTATCCAAAGTTTGAAAACCCCTGATCTACGGAGAGCTTGCATTACTGAATCTCCAATATATTTATTATTATTCTAAGTAGTATAGTATTAGCCTAATTAAAACTAAGTTATTTTTGTCAAATAAATGACATCATGCTACTGTGCATTAGCTTTGGTTTTCTTTTTGCATGCTTACTTCTTACTTTGCAAAATTTATGAATTCACAATGGTGTCCCAGTCACTAGGATGAATTTCTAAGGTTGTTTGTGTAACACCACTCATTCTCCCCTTTTCCTTACTTCTGCTTTTTCACTACTAAATCATTATATACTATATTATGATTTTACCGAGCATTGTAAAATCAAAAACTTAATTCCAAAACATCAGATCATTACATCATGCTGCACTCAATTAATAAAATATGCACAGAAAGATATGAAATTGTACAATTCTCTAAGTTCAGAACACACATCACATTATCACTACAAGATACTTGCAAACACTATTTCTTTGATTGGTTTAAATAAGTCATTAATATGCCTTATCTCCTCCTCTGAAGTATAACAGTACATGATGCCTGAAGCATACATTAATACTGTGTACATGATCTACATAGTGGAGAATATCTGAACCACTCACCAATGCAAAATTATTTTTCTGTCTTGAAAAAGTTTCTTTTGTTTTTATTATTCTACAATATATATA